ACAGAGGTTATGTGGGAACACTGTAGACCCAACAGTTTCCACCATGAGCAAGCACTTGGCAACGGTGGCAAGGAAAAACTTCCTTTTGACAGACCCCGGCAGACCCCAGGTGGGCGGCTGTCTGCCTTGACCGGTTGAAGTAGAGAGAGAAGGGAACAGAGAGATCATCATGGGAATGCTTCATCTGTGGTGGTGTAGGAATATGTGCACTCATGTTCATTCATTAACCCCTCATTAAAAAATTTCTTGCACAGCATGCACGTATTGTCACTGCATACTGTTATGTGATGTTTTCAAAAATAACCATTTTCACTCAGCTCTTCCAATTCATCAAAACGCTGATTTGATAAAAATCCATGATAGTATTTTTTGTCAAATTATGATAATCATCCAGCAAGAGAAAGGGGAAAAAGTTCAAGCCTAAGATCAAGGCACAGACAGGGTCTGTACTAGGAAAGATGAGGTGAGTGGTAGATAAGCGCTACAAAGGCCTCCAAGTACAAAGTGAATGGAACTCTGGTATCTTTTATCTCTGTCTTTGTTTTAAGGCTTTAGCTCTCCAAAACCCTTCATCCTGGCTCTGTGAAGATCAGAACAGAGTGCTTGATTTGGCCCGCTGCTTAGCACCACGTATCCATGGCTAATGGCCCTGTAGCATACTGGGAGCAGGTGGATGCTGTGGAGAGTTTATGTAGTGTGTGTGTGTGTGTGTGTAGGTGTGTGTGTGTATTTTCTTATAGCAATATGTTTTCCACTGGTAGCATGTAATGTCGCTGGGCATTGAATTTTAATGTGATTATAGGATCTTTCTAATTATTTTGACAACCTAGGTGTTGTTTGTATAAAATGAGACAATCCCTGTGAATTATGGTGAAGTCTATGCTTTGAATTCAGCTCTCCATTACTATATTTGTAGTGTGGAGGTGTTGGGGTGTATTGGCAAGTGTTCTTTTTTTGCAAAGTATCACCTGTCACTGGCACCAACCAGCAACTTTTCAGCATTTTTAAAATCTTGCTAACCCAAGCTCCAAGCAGTGTTTTACTCACTGTCTGGGCATGGCCTATTTCCACTATGGGCATGGGAAAAACTCCCATTAGGCAGTACTTTAAGCCTGCAATAACTGTGTTTTGCTGTAACACAACATTTAGGGTAAGTTGAGAACAACTTGTTAGCAAACAGTTTTTACACTTTTAGCAGTTACAGAGCCACATTATCATTCAGAGTTTATGTGAAATTATGAATATGTGTAATTTATGAATTAATATGCATGTTTATATTGGCTCAGTGTGTAGGTGTATTCAATATGTAAAAGTAAAATGAAAATAACATGAAGTGTACACACTTGAGTGCAAGCCAGTGCAAAGGATTCACAGAGGATAAACCTTTTCTCACTGTGTTGGACTTGTGGCTACAGAGGCGTTTGTCATGAACACAAGAGTCAAGTGTATAATTCCAACAGAGGGAGAGGTAAAGCAATTAATTGCCACACACAATGCAAGAGCAGTTATGAACAAAGATGGAGTCAACACAAAGTGGTCGCTTCTAGCTGTCTTTCAAAGACCATTTCTCAGGGCACTCCTACACCCATAACCGCCAGTGTGAACGAACAGAATTTAGCAAATGTATGTGCAATATTCAACAACTGTGTGTGTTTGGTGCAGAGCAGGACAGTATAGAGCTTTTTCTCAGCTGCCTGCTGTGAACGGAAACCGAAAAGTTGTTGCAGGACAGTCAAACAATGAATCACACAACATCAAACAACATCATCTTGTTCTCTGGCAGTTATCTTAACAAGCCGTGTCCAAAAGATTCTGTCCTCCCCTATATACAGCTAAAGTCACAAAGTCACCACAGGGCTGTCTGACAATCCTTTTGCTTCTGTAACTCAACAATTTCTCATTGAGCTTTTGTTTCATCAATCTTTCTGAATGAGTGAAGCATGTTCCTCTGGTTTAATATCCATTTTCTTAGATAAATGAGCAGCGTGCAGGGTCTGCGGTCAGGTCAGGATGACATTGTCATTCACACAAAATTCTGAAATATGGCCCCTTCCTGCAGGGTTGTGCGGAGGTGTGGCTTTGTTTATTTGTGCTTTAGAGCAAAAACACTCTTAAAATAACACTTTATTTCTCTGCTTTGTTCTCGCTAATGTCGCTCCCTTCTCCCATTCTCCCATTCATTTTCTATGTAGCAAATCCTGCATAGCATGCCTTTAACAAAGATTAATTTGATTGCATACAAAAAAGTTATTGTAAGTTGGTCTCATCCATCCATGGTATGCACCAACACTTATCTCTAATGTAATTTATTTCAACTTTCAGCTGTTGTTTCACCATTTGGCCTTCTCTACTCTGCTGTTATTGCTGCCATGTTTAACATGTGAAAGTCTACTGCTTATAGGGAATGGCGTTCATGACAGGAACATAAAAACTAATATTAAAAAAGCAACAATACTGCATTTACAAATTACAAATAAAGTCTCAATAAGGGCCCACAACTTATCTTTTAACCACATTTGTGTTCGTCATCATGGTCCAGCTTTTAAACCACTCATCATTACAAGTAGCTGCAGAGGAACAGCTTGACCACAGAGACTGACAGCTGCAGAAATCTCTTGGCTTCAAATAGCACTTGAAGCAATGGTTTGTGAGAGTGCACAGCCGATGTAACCATGTGTTTGATTCTAATTCTTCTCTTCTGAGTGTAGGCTGTGAGGCTTCTTTTTGGGGAACGCTGCACATATTCAGCTTGACATCCACATCAGGGGCATATTTTGAAGCAGCTGTTGCGCTCAATAATTCACATATTTATTCAGAGGCAGCACACAAAAAGGCTTCATAAAACTTTCTGCTTATGCCGTCTTGGAATGCATAAATATGTGAATTATTAAGTAAAACTTATATTTCCCATATGCGGCCACATTGCGGCTGCCATACTGACTGATTTAGATTGCTGGTTAGGTGCATTCCACATTTTAGCTGCTTTTCCTGGCTGAGTCATTTAACCTTTTCCTTTAAATTTTAAGTGTTTTTATTCGAGTGACTTGAAAGCTGCATGTCTTAGCTTGTCTACAGATTCAAGAACTTTTGGCAATCAATTTCTGAATGATGATGAGCATGATGTAAAACACCCTGCTAATCACAGTTCTGCTTAGTTCAAACTCAACAATCATAAGGCTCAACAAAATTTTTCCCAGCTAGTAAACGCACGCAATCAGGTGTCATGCATTTGTAGCAACACCCTAGGTTTTCAAGGTTACTTTCATGTCTTAAGTTAACTGATTCTTCTTTATCTTCCAAACAGAAATTAACAAATGTGACATATTACTATACTCACTGAAAAAATCTACCAAATGTCCATGTTCATATTCGATGATTCAGCACCTGACAAATTAGTACTAATGCCAACGTTCCGGGCATGGAATGGTTTTATTAAGATGGTAAATGGTAAATGGACCTGTATTTGTATAGCGCCTTGCTAGTCTTCCGACCACTCAAAGCACTTTTACACTTCATGCCACATTCACTCAGTAATGGCAAAATCCATCGAACAGAAACTAACACATTCATACACATTCACACACCAATGCACAGCATCGGGAGCAATTCAGGGTTCAGTATCTTGCTCAAGGATACTTCGACATGTGGCGGCAGGAGCCGGGGATCGAACCAACAACCTTCCGATTAGAGGACGACACGCTCTTCTTCTGAGCCACAGCCGCTATAATACACAATTTATATACATAATCTTTCCCTTACCTTAAAGGACCAGTATTTATAGGATTTAGTGACATCTATCAGTGCAGTTCCAGATTACAAGCCCCTCGCTTCACCCTCCCCTTCCAAGTGTGTAGGAGAAACTATGGTGAAACTGTCTGTAGTGAAACTTGCAATAAATGCGAAAGACCCTTTCTAGAACCAGTGTTTGGTTTGTCCGTTCTCAGCTACTGCAGAAACAAACCAATAGATCCTCCTAAAAATGTTATATACTGGACCAAAGTGTTTTGTCTAACCCTTACTGTACCTTAACTATAGTATAATTGCCATACCCACAATCTCTCCTTAACCATAACCATACTATAGTTGCCCTGTACAGATATTGTAGAAAATTAGACTTCTAAGCTTTTGAGAGCAATTCAACTTCCAGTTAGACCCAGCTGTCTGGCAGCACCTTCTCTTTCATCACGGGAGGCAGAATTGTATATATGATGAATGAATTAATGAATGGACACTGTTATTACCCTTTTAGAGAATTTGTCTTGGTCTGGTTTTCAGAAGGTATGTTAAATATTAAAAAGATACTACGCACATTATTAGCCTATTTACAACAAATACATGTTAAAAGCACATTATCATTGAGTTCATCAGGAAACTCTAAACTTCACCCATCCATGCAGGATAAGAATGTCTGAAACTAGTAAGATACACTGCAGTTGTCAGATATTTCTTAATTTCCAGGCTACGCTGAGCAGAAATTGAGTGTTTGAACCTCTGCTAGTCTTATCTGTCTACTCCTTAATTTGACTCCATGAAAAAACAAAGGCAAAGGCAGCACAGTGACTTTAAAGTCACAATGAGTGGTGCTTTGTTTTGTTACAGGTAGTTTTTAGGTTGTATGTGTGTGTCAGCATCTGGGACTTGTGTGTATGTGCACCTGTACACTATATATGTTGTGTATTTGACAGCAGAACAAAACGTAATGGCAGCCCGGTGGCCTTAAGAGCCATGTTTTTTCCTGTCAAAAGCTTGATAGGTCACTCCATTCTTTACCACTCATAGAATAGAATAGGACAAAGTAGAATAGAAAAGATGAAGAAAAAAAGGGGTAAGGTTTGTTTCATTCCAGTCTGGACATTGAACTCACATGGTTCCACAAAAATAAAAGTTTTTTTTAATGAGATAAGGGTTTGACTCAAGAAGACAGAAGACAGAGATTAAAAAGATACTGGTCTGGTGTGGTCGTATTTGACAATTGCTTCTTCCTATCTTTTTCACCTCAGGCCACCAGTTTCCTGTCAGAGGCCCAGTTTTCTGCTGAGTTACCAGAGACTCTGGATCCACTTTTCAAGTTCCATGAGACCATTGCTAAGGTAGGACCACCAGAATTACTACTACTTCTACCTATAAAATATCTATCACAATGACAGGCATGTCTCGTAGTATGCAAGTATTGCCAAATGTCCTAATCCCAGCCAAATGTTATAAATTTCTGGTTGATTTTAGACACAAAATAAAGATTTACTGTTGAGTGAACTTGAATATTTATCTGCCAGTGGCTGGTAAAACCAGAGCCAAGCTAAAAAAGTAGGGACATTCTTCAGAGGATCAAAATAACATTCAGTCCTGGTTCTTCTATCAGTTCCAGTAGCCATCTGTAAATTGTGATATGCACTGAAAAGTCAGGAGACAACTTATTTTTTCTCTACAACAGACTATTTAATAGTATTACTCAATTCAAAATTGGAGACAGGAAGAATGTTAAAAATACACTCACTAGGTGGTAAACTGGTAGCCTGAAAGATGTCTTTACCAGCGGAAGTACTGGGTGCATTGCTGCGGAGCTGCACGACACCGCGTGCAAAGAAGAAATCCTGCACCATCTTTGATTTCCTCCGCCAAGGAGGTTATGTTTTTGGCGTCATTTGTTTGTTTTTCTGTCTGTCAGTAGAATTATGGAAAAACTACTGGCCCGATTTTCATGAAACTTGGTGGAAGGGTGTAGCATGGGCCATGGAAGAATAAAATTTAGGAGCAGATTTATAGTAAATATCTTTCCTGTACAGTTTAGGTCTTTCTATCTTTATCTTTATTTATTTATATTTTAAAAAGTACATTTTTTTTTGTGATTTTTATACACCAACGCACCAAGGCAAATTCCTTGTATGTGTACAAGGAGTACAACTTCATGGCAATAAACCCAATTCTGATTCTGATTCTAAATATTAAAATAGATAACTTTGAGTAAATAATGCTTCAGTTAAGTCAGTTGAAGGAGCCAAATTCAGTTTATCTCATATGAACTGCAACGTTTGATGTTCACATAGCAATGACTCCAGGAAGGTTGATGATAACTTCTTCAATTACCAGCTTCCACTTTCCAGGCTTAGAAACGTTGCACCTCTCACTGTCATTCTGAGACCCCTGCACAGGCATAATCCCTAGTAGTGTCATTTTGCTGTTGCCAGGCAACCGCCAATCCAGCTGCTGTCAGTAACTCGTGTAGCAGATGAAATTAGGAGGTCTTTAGCTAAGTGAAGCATTAAAAAGTCACCGCCCATTTCAGCTGCGTCAGTTGAAGCTGGATAGTATTTATTGATATTTACTGGAGATGAAGCATGCTTTATGGGAACAGTCACTACCGTCTTTACTTTCAGTTGAGACTAATACAGCAGTTCTGACGAAGAAAGCCCTGCCTCTGAGAAAAAACTCGCAGAGATGACTCAGTCCTTTTCCACTCAGGGCTGCACATTTTTCAAGTAGTTTGAAGTTCTCTAAAAAAGTGTGTTGGGAAAAATCTGAACAAAACACTGCTAAATATCGATCATTCTTTTCTTCTTCTTTTAAGATCTGTATCGCAGACTACCTTTTCAAAATAACCCTGACTGTTGGGAGAAACTCTCATTGCTTATAAATGCCACCAGTTCACCACAGCTACCGCCACTGCAGGATTGCTGTCACAGTTTACAAATTACATAAGACACAGTGACATTTACATCATCTTTTCTGGAGGCCACGCTTCATTTTGGTCCTTACCTTGGCACCTCAAATGTGTGAAATTACACTTAGTTTACAAATACCGCACTGGCAGGAGCCAGCAGGAGAAGCTGCACAGCCAAAACTCAGTTAGCTAGGATAGTAACTCAACCTACTACTGTGTCTTTTCAACTACTCACCCCCCTCTTTAGATAAACAAAGGGGACTTTATTCAATTTTGCAGAAAGCAGAGGAGAAGAGAGATGCAGTCTAATTTGAGTTTGCTTCTTCTCGAATATGGGTGCCATCTTACTCTTGTAGCATTCTGTCTGTAGTATATGGCTGTTTGATGTATGCATGATCCAGAGTGTGACTTTAAATGTATAATAATTGGGCTGTGAATGTACTGTAGCACCTGTTCTGTCTGAGACTAAGCCCAGGCTGCATTTCAGTGCAAAGCAGATGCTGTTTAAACTTGTTGGTCCAAGCTTGTCCTCCTGTGTCTTAGAGTCTTGGTAGAATCCTTCTTAATTTATAATGTATTATGTAGAATATTCAAAATATTTAAATGTTTCCTTACTTTTTATATATTGAAAGACCACTACGTAGGATTTAGTGGCATCTAGCGGTGAAGTTGCAGATTGGAACTAACTGAACACCGTCCAAGTTTGCAGGAGAAATTATTTTGTGCATGTTGTCCCTTTCTTGCTGTACATTTTGTCCAGTCTACACTGTTTGATTTAGTCAATAACACTGTGTGTGTGTGTGTGTGTGCGTGCGTGCATGCACACGCGTGCATGTGTGCATGCCTGTAGGCCTGTCTTTCTGTCTGCCTGTCTATTGAAAGATTGGCAGATAAACACAGTAGGTTTGCTTATTGCACCATAAGCACCACCAGCAAAGTCTTCCTTTTCAGCAGTTGAATATCCATTATATCTGTGGTCAGCTGTCATTTCTTAATGGCCACAAACACAGCTGCAGTATTTGAGCTAGAAACCCTCTATTTTCCATAATTCAGATCTACTGTAAGCAAATATGGGTTTAAATGTTGTGTGTATTCACGGTATCAGCAGTGTATAGTGTTGTGTCCACTATGCAGGCGACCTTCACGTCCATCCCATCCCTGCTGGCTGGTGATTGCTGCTGCTGGTTGGCAGCTCATTTTTCTCTCTTGATGTTTGTTCTTTTTCTTTTCATTGGACACCTCCCTCATTTTTAGCTGTGACCTCTAAACCAAGACATAAAAAGAAAAAGGACAGGTCATTCTCGTCACTTGACATGCACATGTACGGTATCGCCAATGTGGTTTCAGATTTGACTGTGGAATGCTGCATGTGACCCCCATCTGCAACATCTGTGGACATGGGTTTAAGGGGCTTCTGTGCAGTCAGGCTGCTGATAGACCTCCAAATTAAAGGACAAAATACATCATTAGTAACTGCTCTTCATAATGACACACTTTTAATCTGAAACCTCTACCAGCAGGACAGCATAATTTGTCTGTGCCTTCAAATCACTGTTGAAAATTAAATCTATTTTATGATGTGACAATGCTATGATTAATGTTTTTTTAGGTTTAGGCACAAACAAGACTTGCTTAGGAAGATATTGAGGTTTTTAAGTTGACTTTTAGGAGGAAATAGGAAAGAAACCCAAGTCCCACGTTTGGTGGACCACCCAACCACCCACACCCTCTGCTTCTGCTGACTTTGACTCTATAAGAAAGGTTTTTTCCTCCTTTGCTAGCAACAGACAACAGTTATAATTCCTACGGCTATTAACTTATGCTGTCATTGTCCTCGGGAGTATAGCCTCCATTATTCAGTATCATTAGATGTTGTAGATTGACAATTGAATCTAGTGCATGGTACTACTGGAGGCCCTCCTCATTTAGGAGCCTGCACATGTGGAGGATGTGCACTGGCAGTTGAGACGGTGCAAACCAGGCAAGGCTCAGGGGCCGGATGGCATCTAGGCACGGGTGCTGAAGGACTGTGCCACAGAGCTCTCTTTGATTCTCTATTCCATCTTTTGGGAATCCTACAGGACTGCCTCAGTACCCAGCCTCTGGAAAGCACCCTCTGTCATACTGGTGCTCAAAAATCCCCACCCCTCAGAACAATTACCGGCTTATCGCACTCACCTTAACAGTAATGAAGTGTCTGGACAAACTGGTACTCAATTCCATCCTTCCAATTGCCGGACCACATTTGGACTCCCATTAGTTGGCCTATACGTCCAAAAGGGGTACTGAGAATGCTGTGGCATGTGTCCCTCCTACAACAACTTAAATCACTCGGTAACTTCTTTATCAACTTCATTTCTGCATTCAACACTATTAACCATCACCATATGATCAGGAAACACACTGTCCCCCCACTCCTCAGCCACTGCATATACAGCTTTCTTAGCTACAGACCACAAACCGTCAGAGGGGGCACTGTAACATAGCAGTGCACAGACAGCTATCTGCAGCTAAACGTCACAAAGATAAAAGAACTGTTAATTAACACTTGCAGCACCCACAGCCCAGACCTCAACTCTACTCACAATCCCACCTGCATCAATAATGAAGATGTTGAAATGATCGAGTGCTTCAAATACCTTGGACTCACTCTTGACAATAAACTGAGCTTTAAACAACACACCACAGACATTTACAAACAGAAGTTTCATCCCTTCTGCCATAGCATTTCTCAACAAAACAAAAGCCATTATGTGTAAATACCTGAATGTATGTACAAATGTGCTGTGTTTAGATGTCTATCTTGTGTTAATGGGGTGTGTGTATGTATGATATTATGTACAGACTGTGGAAACAAATTTCCTGGAAAAGATAATAAAGAATCTATTTACAACATACACTCCTTTTGCATATGTAGTGTAGTGTAACACAATCTAATTAGTCCACTAATGTAAAATGTGATGTTGTGTTTCATTATACATAGTATCTTGTAACTCTGTCATATTTGCCAGTGTTGATGTGTGTCCATTAAAGCAGTGGTTTTATCATACCCTAGCTTCTGTATTGCGCCTGTGTGACAAGGCCGGTGCATGTTGCACTTTAGTTCAGCACCATGGACAGCGGCGTTGGCTTTCTGGGCCTGTGCTGACTTTAAAGACCCTGCACAGGTGTTTGCAGTTATTCTGATTGATTAGATCTGTGCTCAGGCTGAAGCTGGGTGGAGCTATGCTGGAAATGACGAGGTAACCAAACATAATGTGGTTTTAAACAAGTAAGTTGTCCATGGTTGCAACAAAACAGGAGTGGGAAGGAAATGTCGATACACACCCACAGAGTCCTGAGAAGAATCTGAATAAGTCAAAACACCCGTGTGGGTGGAATTTATTATTAATATATATACACTGAAAAAATACTACTGCATAAATAGTTATA